TTTTATGAATGAAATTCAGTGTTGCTATCTAAAAGAAAAAATTTGCAATGGTTTTGAACTTTCTTAATTGAATGAGTAATGTCTTAAGTGTTTAAATACTTGTTTTTCTTCACTACTTACAGGATCAAGATAAGGATTGGCTTTCTTTGGGTTGTTAATAGACTTTTTTTTTGGTATTCCCAAATGGAAACGTCTTATTTTATGATGTTTATTCCGGTGTAATTTGCTGATCTTAATTTTTTAATCATCATTGAGAAGGTTAAAGGTTGTTTCACAGTATTCTGATGTAGCGTTATGAAGTCTTCATAAACATATAAATAATTTTGGTAGAACACATCCCATTAACAATGCCTTTGTTAATTATGTAATTTATTTAATTAATCGAAAATTTCTTTTTGTTCACACAGTTATTGATACGTCAGAGTGGGTAGGTTAAACAGAATACCTGTTATTGCCCCCCAAAGCATGCACGCTATCTGCCCACTGAACATTTTCATCAGATGCCCCTCTGGCACCTCAAACTAAATGGGTTGAAAGTGGATTAATTTTCTTTCACATTTCAGGCCCTCTAAGTAGCCTCACAAAGCAACCATTTGGCTATCTAGCTATTGTCTTTTGCTGTTTTTGTGCTGCAGTGGCAGGGCTGAATAGTCATAACAGAAACCATAATGGCTTATAAAGGCCTAAAATACTTACTATTTGGACCTTTATAGAAAAAGTTTGCCTATGCCAGTTCTGAAACATTGAGAAACACCAAAGCATTTTAGGGCCAAAAAATATCTTAATACATTAAAAATGGAGAGATAAAACCTCAAAAGCTATTTTGAAGTGAGAGATTTTTAATGGCTAATGTTAATGTTGGACTTAGATTTGCCCGCTACCGAAGTTGATGCACCCAATATGGGATTTGGAAAAATCTTCCCCAAACCTAACTTGAACATCACAGAGGAGATTAAAGAAGACTCTGATGAAATGCCATCAGAATGCATTTCTAGAAGAGAGTTGGAAAAGGGCAGAATTTCTAGAGAAGGTAATGTCATGAGATAAACAAAGCACATATTCCATTTTACATTTCTTTCACTCTACAGAAACAAAATAAATTCCTTCATTATCATTTACCTTTATTTAAGGCACACACTTCAAAACATCTCTCCAGTTAATGTTTGTAATCTCCTTTTTTGTTTTTAATACTTGTACTTTATAGGGTAGAATATTCCTTTCCATACAATGTTTCCAGTTTATATTTGTTAGGGAAAAATTTTTGTTTTCATTTCTATAACATTTATATGGCATTTAACACAAATTTATGTATACCACAAGTCCAGAATTATGTATTCCAAAAACAGTTGATAGATCATCACAGATAGTGTGT